AGAGCTGGAAACTCAATTTGATGAAACATCAGCTGCGTCGCGAACAAGTCAACAGACCCTCTGATCTGCGTTGTTTCATGTGAAAATTGACAGAAGATTCGCTTATGTCCATTAATCCTACCGTACATGCAGACCAAAAGTTGTGCATCGCAAATATCGCTAAGAACTGTTTACTCCCTGACGAAACAAAGAGATAATAAACGACTCCAGCAAAGAAATAGGGGAAATAACCTGAAAGCGTAATATGAGTTCAATAAGTCGTAAAGACACTTAAAGATTTGCACAATTATCTGTGATGTGGTAACGGCAACAATAAGCCCATAATTAATTTCGGCAGCCAGGCGAAGGAGTAGATTTTTGGAGCGTGTGGCACATCGAATCTTTTTTTCGAAGTTGATCGCTATGCATTGGTTGACTATGTGGTCGCGTAGCCGCAGCCGCATGCAGAACTTTTAGTACTTGCACAATCTTTATGTTATGTGCATGTTAGCATGAAGAAAGAAGCCTTTCTAACTCGCTTAGTCTTTCACCAGCATTTCTTCAATTAACAGTCAACAGTGTTCATCGATATATTAATAACGAAATGCCATGCCGGCTTCGAAAGCTGTAACGATGTGTCAAACCATTAAAAACAAACTTGGATCATTGAAAAAGTTTAAGAGCTTGTTTAAACTTTTGCGGATCGTAAAGCTGCAAAGTTATACACCATACCTCAAATAAAATTACATTAAAATTCGATTAAACACGATTTCCCTATGCGCAAATTCAGCAAATAAACTCTTACCTGTGGCAACGGAAAATGCAGGATGTTGTAGTAATGTTTGGAGTTGAGCAATGGTTTACCACTGGACGAACTGTTGACGTCGATCCTTGGCTTGATAGAGCCACGTTCCACGTTATTACAATTCGGAATGTACAACAATCGCGACGACTTCGTTTCGGTAATGGCGGTCTTTGGCAACTTTTCTATATAAAAACATACAACAGAATGGCCCGAAGAGATCAGTTCAGCGTAAAGAGGCGTTTCTAAGAAACATGCTTGCTTCTTTTAAGTTTTACATCTTCAAATACTCTTTCCCTCCCATGATTCTGCAACTCAACATCAAATGTGTAGTTGATATTCTGACTTCCAGAATTACTTAAAACTCGTCCAAAACTGGATTTCACAATTCTGTCATCTTTCTCTTAGGTGCCTAAAAGGTAGGGGGTCAATTAAGAACACTACAGATCAGATATTCAAGCCTCTGCAAAACAGAATCAGTGATAGCCAAAGTATTAAAATCACTACATAGTAAAGTGAAACAAGGCGCGTCCATTCATAATACTTGCTCAAGTAGTGCGGAGAAGGGTCACCTAGG